CCCTCCCCCCATCTATTGCCCTCCCACCCCCGATATCATGCTTATCTATTACAATTCCATTGAATCCGTTCCCGCTCTCTAGTGTTTCTTTTCAGAATGTAATTTCTCATCACAGTGAATTACTTGATTTTTTTTTTCATTTCATAGGTACAGGACATCAGCCAAATATGAATGCCATATGACTATCAGTTGAATGTAGGGAAGACATGTTTTTCAGCTAGAACTTTGCTTTTGAATGTATGGTCTACCACTTAATGCTGATAACTAACAATGAAAGCTCCCATTTTTATGCCTTCATTGACCTTCATTTGCCTCATCTTCTACATCCAATAAATAAGAATCTTCATTACCTACCTTCTTTCCCTCTCCCTCCTCCTTCTCTTTCTTTCTCTCCCTCTGTTCCTCCTCTGTCCCATCTCCCCAATTAGATGAACACATTGATGTTGTGGCCTGAGGAATGAAATTAGTAACAAGAAAAGTCACTTTTTAAAGGCGGCTTTAATATTTAAACATGTAGGGAGGTTTTCTGTGGAATTTCCTTCTTTTATTTCTTCCTTCCTAGTTTTTGGGACACAAACTCACTACACAAACTTCTTTCTCATCTTCGTGCTCTCAGAAGGATATTTTTCTATCCTACTTGGGTCATAATCAGTTGTGGATTTCCAGTATTTCCATGCTTTCTTTCTTTCTTTTTCTAAATGGCCCCTTTTTGCCCATCTCTACCTCTTTCATATAGAAGGAAGCCCAAAAAAATAAAACCAAAGTTTTTCTAAGAAATTGGAAGACAAATTTATTTTGTTCGTTGTCAGTTATAATTTGGGGAGAAAATTAAGTGGAAAAATCTGAAATAATAAGAGGAAATAATAGCAATAAAAGAAACCTAATCTCACAGTGTATATTTTATAATAAGTATAGCAGTACTTATTTTAAATAAATATAATAACTGAGATGCTGATATAGGGAAGTTCTTGTAAATTTTCTAAATCTTTTTTTTATTTAGGTGGTTTAATTTTTATGATATTTTAAATGCTTATTATTTACTTTATTACCGTTCTATTTATTAACTTTATTTATTTATAAATCCACACAGAAGCCTAATATAATGACTGCCCTCCACATCCTCATTACCAGTTTCAACTTCATTAACAACAGATGTTTAATTATGTTGCATCCATACCCCACCCTCATTTTTGTATGTTTATTTTTGTGTGCTTTTGCAAACCTCTTTAATGTCTTGTTTAATAGGAGATTCTCAAAATCAAGCACATTAATGTTTTTGCAGCAAAATATATAAATATTCACAATAAGCAGGATAAATAAAGACTATTCAGCTCAGGTTGTGTTGCCAAATGAGAAAAAAAAATTTCAGCGTTTTAGAGCTTTATAGATTTCAAAACTGAAGATAAAAGATCACAGGCTGTTTTTTCTTTGCTTTTGCATTTTTGTACTTTAATGGGAATATCAGTATTGTGTCACCATTACCAACGTATATGTAATTTTTATCAAATTCCTTCTAGTACATGGTTTTATTAGATAGGAGTTTCACAGTTGAATGAATGTATATCCAGGATCTGATATGATTATATGAATTGTCTTAACATATTTGTATAATATACTATATTTTAATTATTTTCTTGTGTTCTGGGGATCCTTAGCCTTAGGAGTCACACTTTTCTAGACTTATGAGAAGGATCTTGAAAGTGGTCTCACCAGAGATTCATTTGCATGAGGTGACAAAAGACATCCTAGGAAAGAACACACTTAGGGATAAGAGCAGCATCCATCTACAACCTGACCCAGCCCAATAACCCTGTGGGAGCAGAGGGTAGCTTTGGAAAAGGCAGCTGTGTGTCTCCAGGAGCACCTTTTGGCCCAGCCCTCATAAACGTGTGCCTGGGCTCTGCCAAAGAGAAGGTCAATCAACTGTTTTCTTTTTCACATGTTGGGTTGTGTTTTGTTTTTAACATCAGGCATTAGGAACACAGGACAACACACAACAATTTGAGAGAGACGCTGTAGGGGTAAAATTGTTCCTCCTGATCTTTGCACTTCACCTGTGCGTGAACCTTGACCTGTCCAAGCCCTCAGCCATGAGGCCCAAGAGCTCTAAAGAAATTTTGTGCCTAAAACCTATGGCATGAGCCTGCTACTAGAATCTCCAGCACCTCTTCTCTGTGACACCCTTGATCCTTTGTCTACTAAGACAATTCCCTGCAGCGCTCTACAACCCTGAATTAAACTCCTCTGCTTTGCCCTTCTCATAATAACCCATAGTAGAAATCCATTTGGCCAGAGGCATTGGGGGACTATTTTGATTATTTTACTCCGTTCAGCCCCCTGATCCTTAACCCACCCAAGGAAAACTGAATCCTCTTTTACTTACCTCTCCTTTTCCTGGGCAGAGTATGGGTCCTTCAAGGTAATCCCTGTTTATTTTTAATGTTATTATCACACAGAATTTTTAATGTTCTTTTAAAATAGATTTTTATAAAACTATTCAGATGGGAAGCCACCTTTTAAAATTATTTTTATTATTATTAGTCCCTGAAAACTATGTGGATATGATGTTTACCTAATTACATTGTCATAAAACTCCTTTATCTTTTTTTTTGTTGTTCTTCTTCGTCTAAAATTGAAACCCTAGGGCAGTTTTCTCAAGGCCATGTGTTATTTGGTGGTGAGCGATATGACTAACTCACAGCCTAAACTTAAGTTATATTTCAGTTCTTTTATAAAAGTTTCTTTTTAGATTTAAGTAAAGACTGTGGAAAAATAAAAAAAATTCTGATTCCTTGACTTTGAAATAATGAATATAGTGCTGATTATTTCTGTGTTCTGCTCTAACTCACTTTTCAGTCTAAAGTTCTAAATTTTATATTTGTTATAAAATAAGAACCATGATTGTTGTAGTTCTTTAAGCAACAATAATTGAACACAGATGTTAGCATGAAAAGCTGAAATATGTTAAATTGACAGAGGATTCTACCACTTGCAAAAAAAAATTTGAAGAACATTGGCTAATCATCATCATGCATTTTAGAGTGTGCGAGAATTCATATTTTATAACATCAGAACCTGTGTTCACTTTGTGTACACTTTGAAAGGTCCATGCTAAACATACAAAAAATTTCAGTATGTGTCTGCTGTTTTTGGCCTGAAGTATGGCAAAATTCTGCTCATCAGTCTTTACATTGGGAGCTTATAAATGAGCTACAGTATAATATATTTTGCAGGTGTATTTTTTTGTAACTCAGTAGGCAAGACATTGCTGATTTATGGTTGCATAAATACTCGAGATGTGAACAAACCAATGAAATGATGTAATTTACTTACATAGTTTGCAGGATAATTTCTTTCCAGTCTTAGCTAAAGCGTTACCAAGAAAGTTGGAGTCAGCAGGCAGTGTGGTATGCTGCAGGGGGGCGGTGCAGAGGAGGGAAGAGAAGCTTACCTGCTTACAGTGGTCACTCATTTTTAAAATCTATTAAAAAAAAATTTAGTAGGAGCTCTCATTGTGCCAGGCCCTGGATTACAGAAGCAGGAAGTGACAAGTTGATATGTTTGTCCTAGAGCTTGTCTGAGTTCTTGCTTCTTGCTCTCCCTCTCATGATGTGCAGGACAGCAGAGGTTATTTTCTCATTCCTAGAGCTTGAATAGATGCACTAAGTAACTATTCATTTCATGGTTTATGAGTTAAGACAGTTCGAAGAAGTTTCTACTCTTCTTACCTAAAAACATTTTACATTTCTTTTTTTAAGGTTACTTGTCTTCTTTGGCAAAATAATATTCCATAGTGACCACCTAATTAAGCAATGTGGAGTGACAGATAGATGGATGGGTGGACAGACAGACGGACACATGCATGATGGATAATTGGCTTATATGTTTACCATGTGAAGCAACCATCTGGTAAAATAAATGCCCTTGAAAAGCAGAGACCAAGTGATAACTAATCCTTAACACACATTACAAATGACCTACCTCATTCTGACAATGTCCATCTTTAATTTCCAGTCATGAATATTTTCACTTGGTTTATTTTCCTTTAGCGTCCATGCTGTAATGCATAATTGGAGGTTGCAGAATGTTCTTTCTACTTACATGCCAAGTGTATGACTTGTTGGTCTCTAGGGTGCTAAATCTCCATTTAGTGGGCTTTGGAGTGTTGGTTATTAAATATGAAGTGTTTCCTCTGTTTCAGCACCACACAGATTGTACACTATTCCTGTGAGGCCCAGAATACCAGACAAACCACACATCAGACCTGGTAAGTTGTTTCTTACTCTGATGACCTAAATTATCAGTACATCTGAGAAGACAGAAAATGTAGTGAAACAGCCAAATGCACCAAAGGAGGGCTATATATTCTTAAATTTAAATAAAGGACAGGCAGATATTCTGATCCCTGTGGATAAGTGGAGCAGTAATGATGAATCCATGGAAGTGACAAGTTTGACTAAGGTTTTTAAAGAGGATCTGATTCGAAGACCGTTATAGAACTTTATCAGCATAAAAGTATTTTTAAAATAGTATTTATGCATAAATCACACACACACATACACACACACACACACACACACACACACACTCACTCACTCCAATTTTCCATGCCAGTTATAAATATAGCATTAGAATTAGCTATGACATATTACTTTCTTTCAAATGTTATTTATCTTTTAAGAAAAGCTGGGCTCTTCAGTATAGAAAGCTCCTGTTCTAGGAGATTACTTTTGCAAATCAAGTATCTGATTCCTTCAGATTATAAAAAAACAAACACATACATTGTGTAGATTGTAAATAGAAAAACTCAAGTGATAACTAAATTTTGGAAAATACTTTAAATTTACTAAATTCTCCAAAGGTTCTAGGATCTCTCTCACTGGATCTTGTTAGGGAAAAGATAATCGGAGGGGTTGTTTTGGTCGATGTAAATTGCTTCTATGCTAACACACAAAATGGACCAAAGACTCTGGTGTTTTCTACCCTTTCTTCACTGTGGCTCTAAAAACTCTTCTTAAAGTTCAAATGACGAAACTGGCTTCCAAATTAATTTTCATGGTGAACATTTCTGCAGGCACATGGAAGAAAGAACAAATAATATTTTCTATCCTTCAGTTGATGGAAAGCCCCTTTTTTTTTGGATTAACCCTCCAATTCCTAAAGGTAATTAGCCATAGAAGTCTTTCATGAACAAATATATCTCCATGTGACTTTTGTATGATGATAGCTGTTGATAGCTTAATGTGTGGCTAGTTATATTAAACATTTCTATGAAATAATAAAACAGTAGCAATAATGGCTAACATTGACCAAGAGCTTACCCTGTGTCCTATGAGGTACAGTTGAGGAAGCTGAGGCATACGAGCTAGGACATAGATTCAAAGTCAAGCAATCAGGCTCGCATGCTTGCTCTCTTAACCACAATACATTTAGTGCTTTACCTTAAAAAGTCTTCTAAACAGAGAATGAGATAGGTGACCTTTTGAAATTTGGGTAAAGCTATCACTCTTAGCAAAGCAGGAGAGAGATTTCAATGGTTTTATCACAGTTCTGTGTTCAATGACTGACTTGTGCCAGGATTCTCAAGGAGCATCCATACTTAGAAACTCCAGAAAAAGGACCATCAACTTACGAATTATGAATTAAGGCTATGACAAATACATACACTTCAGGTTTGGGTTTTCATTGAAATGGGTAATCCTGATCTTCATTCAGTTCCATTTTGGAATGTATCTATTGCTTATAATGTAGATGAAGCAAGACATTTCCATTCAGAAATAGAAATGCCCTTGCCAGTTATTTTTTTTTCAAGCCCAGTGATCACCTCAGAGTACAAACGCAGGTCTCTATTCCCAAATTCAAGTCTATGATTTTTGTACCAGAATTGTGGCTTCTGTAGTCTGAACAATATTTTTAGTAAGCCACCATTTTTTTATTGCCTGGTTAGATAATTTACAATTCTTTGAGAAGTTTTGTTTTTCTTGGCTGCAAATTTCTAATAAGAAAATGTCTGAACTATTTATGTCCTACTTTATTGTAGCTCTGAATAAGACAACTATAAGACCTAGTAGACCCAAACCCAATGGAACGCCTAACGGGAATGGAATGGGAACAGGTAATGATCACAAATTTATTTCCTTTTGATCCTACCAAAATTGTAAATATTTTCATTCAATTTTTATAATTTTCTTGAATTTGCACTTCAATATCATTTTTACCAGTTTTGGAAGTTCTTAGCATAACTAGAATTAAATATTGTAACTCATTCCAAAATCGAAATTTCAAATGTCTCTGAAAACAATAAAAAAGAATTTTTCACTTTTCTAAATTTAGTCCACTAAGCTGCCATATATAGTATTGATTCTTTAAACAATCCTGACTAAATATGAATTACTATATCAAAATATCAAAATAGCTCTTTTCCCTAATTTCAAAACACTTTCCATATACAGACCTGGTCTTTGAAACTGTTTTCAAGTTTATAATTTCACAAGTACCGTTATAATTTTTTTGGAAGACTTGCATCTGTTAGCAGTCTGGAATATGATATTTAAACAAGAGCAATTACCAGTTGATCACCCTTGTTACAGTCATATTAATGTTTCCAAATCACTCAGGTTAATTAAATGACATTGCCCTGACCCAATCAGATATATGGGAGTAGGTATCATACAGATAACTAGGACAATGATTCAATAGAAGTTCAAATACCCAAATTATTAAGTGGATAAATGATAGCTTTTTCCTCAGTATGGGATTGCATCATTCCCTTGTAATATTTTTTAAATAGTACATATCTTGTGTTTGTTTATATAAAAAAGCATGAAATTAGAATTCATTTAATGATATATAGTTAATTGACCCATGATGTTTCCCTAATGAGAAAGAGATGTGAATAATACTTGAATATAATCAGTATGAAAATCATTGAGATTAGTTTTAGAATGTGTTTTTCGTACTTGGTTATTAGATAGAGTATCTGAAGTTCTAGGAATTTATTTCCCTTCAAACAAATTAATGAGGTAATTTCTATAAATTCCTGACTCATGAAAACTAAGAAAACATTCTGATATCTATTTGTGCTCAGCTGTTTCTTTTATTCTTCCCAACTGTGGGATTAGGCAATGCATAGTGTCTCAGATTGACATAAACAATCTGGCTCTAAACAGAGCCAACTTCTAAATATTCAAAGTAATTCCCTTGAGTTTGTCTAAGTAAAAATAGAAGAAAGCATGTATGTCAACAAAGCAAAGGAAAGAACAACTAGCTACGATCAAATTTGAAAGCCATTGACCTTCAGTACAATCAAGTATTGATTCTCTCTAAAAATAGTGCTGTCTTTCAGGAGAAAACAGCCATTATATTTTAATCTATCAGTACTATAAACATTTTTTTCCAAAATCACTTGTAACACAAACTGACATCTATTACCCTCTTGTTTAAATGAAGTCAGCTATGTCATAACTCATCTTACTTAGCATTGGAAGGATGATCTCTTATCAGGGCTTCTTCAATTTAATTAGTTGGTTGCTGGTAGAAAGGGACTGGTGCGCAAAGGTAGACAAATATGAGCTCACTGTTTCCCCTTTCCTTGTTCCACCTGCGTCCTCCCAGTAACTGTTGTATCTGTTCTATGTTCTAATGTCTGTCTATTGGAATTTCCCCTCAGAGAAAGACTTGCTGCCCACCTTCAGAGAGTAAGGTCAGCAGATAGCATTCAACTTTCAGCTCGTTCAGGGTCAGCCTCAGTTGAGAGAGCCTCGAATAAAGATCTGGGCAGTATATTTCCATGTCTACCACAATACACAGAACCACCAAATGATAGTTACCACAGGAATACAAAGTTGGCTCAACATTCAAACAAATTAGTATAATTCACCACATGAACAGAGCAAAGGAGAAAAATCATATGATCATCTCAATAAATACAAAAAAAACCATTACACAAAATTTAAAATTCATGCATGCTTTAAGCTCTCAGAAAACTAGGAATAGGAGGAATTTTCCTCACTGATGAAATACATCTGTGAAAATTTTACAGCTGACATCATACTTAATAGGTAAAGCTGAAATGTTTTTCTCCTAACATCAAGATCACAAGAAAGGGTTCCTATTTTTACCAGTTCTGTTGAAAATAGCAGTGGAGTGTATATCCAAGCAATAAGGCAAGAAAAGAAGTAAATAATATAAAAATTGGAAATCATAAATGACAATATTTAAATTTATGAAAAAAACAATTTAATGCTCTCAGACTATTTGCCTAGGGAATAATGTTTTCAGAAATTGATAAGGAAAAGAATGTTTAAAATCTATTTTCTCCAGGTTATAGACTTACATGAGTCTACCTTACTTTGATTCTGCGTAGTTACAATCTGATTTGTCTACAGAAATGCAGGTGTTCACATTAAGTTTATTTTCTTCTCTGACCCAGTCCCATTATCTCTTCACACTCACTTCTAGCCTCTATTGAGTCTTAATGAGACAGTGTTTTCGTGTCAACTTATTCCTTATCCAATTTTAACATCTTTCCCAGAATATTTATCTTTATTATCCATCTCACACACATTTTCCTATCATTTTACTTGCTGAAGTTTTCAGCCCAGATACGTTACATTTAAAAAAAAAATTGGTTGATAAAAGAAGTGTTTAGGGTTTATAGGACATATTCTTCATGATCTTAGGCCACTTAAGGTTGTGTCCCTGGAAGACTAAAGAAGAAAGCCTCTAAGGTCTCAAAACTATCGACCTTTGATTATTTGAACCTCTATAAAAATCTTGCAGTTTCTCCATAAACCACAGAGGTTTTTAAGCCATCTTAAGCCAAGTTTCTTATTTCATAACATTATTACAGATATCCTGCTTTATGGTGCATTTCATACCAATGTACTTAAATAGTCCTCCACCTGAAAGTTAGAAAGTAGCTGCAGAGATTGAGGTTTTAGGTAAGTCATTCTACAAGAACTTTGTTTTTTCATGGTTTCCAGACCTGTGTCTCAGCTTAACTGGCATATTCTACATATTATAACCAAGTTGAGATCTGACTCCAGAGATGCAACAAGCATGCACTAGACCAGAGGATCACATAAACTACAGCCCCACAGGCCAAATCCAGCTCACTGGTTATTTTTGTAAATAAAGTGTTATTGAAACATAGTTTGCTTTCACAATACAGTGGCAGAATTGAATAGTTGTGACAGTGATGTATGGCCCACAAAGCTGAAAATATTTACTGCCTGACCTTTGACAGAAAAAGTTTTCTGACCTTTGCTAGACAATCTCTCCACGTTTATCCCTATCGAAGAAAGCTGCTGAATTGTGCAGCTATTCTTTCATTCAACCAACAATAGGCCTTTACTGAAGGCCTATTATGTACCAAACAAGGTGTAATTTGGCACATGTGGACAGATACGTTCAATACCTAAACCCCAGACTCCCTTCTCTGCATGCTAATGAGATGCACTTCACAGCCTCCACATGGAGGAGCCCCAGACTGCTCCTCAGTGAGGAATGTGTTGGAGCTGGGGCTAAATCTTCCAGTCCACTGGCTCATCACCCCTGACATTTTAGCCAGGTGCTAAGATTTGGAGACAAGGGTGAGGAGACCCATTTTCCATAAATACCACCCCTTTTTGGTCCCAGGGAATACAGTGTCTGATACATTTGGAAATGGATGTGCCCAGTTTACTGTGTTTCTTTGCAAAGCTTTTGTTACCATGGTTAAAAATACCCAAAACATGACTCCAGTTTTGACAATAAATTCCTAAGAGGTGAACTATGTAAATCCAGAGATTTTTGGAAAACTCCCATTTGGCAATTGGGGGCTCACATTGAAGCCCAAGTGCTGGTGGTGCCCTTCAGAAAATATGGAGATGAACTCTGCCTGAGGGCAAAGGAAATCAGGTCACAGCCTGGGCCAGACAGGTTGACTGGGTGCCAATTCCTGAGGATTCTTCCTCTACAGTGTCTCTCGCACTGGCTTCTTCCTTTCCCTCCTCCCCTTGTCTCTCAGCTACCTTTGGCCTTCACTTGCTCTCTTCTGATTTAGGGCAACAGAAGTTCACTGGTCTCAGGGCTCTGTGCTCACACTGCTGCCTGGCTGACATGAAACCACCGCTAGGGGGAGGCAAGGCGAGTGCTGGAGTTCAGTCTCCTGTCCCCAGTTCCGTGCTCTTTCCCGGAGCCCCACAGCTGCCTTTTGTAGGATTCTCACCAAAGTCCTCCTCCACCACCAGCCTTTACTGCCTTAAAGCTGGAGAAGGTCCAGTTTATCAGCTGCTCCTTTATTGATTTGGGTATTTACATTTAAGGATCATATCAGTATGATGCTTCTGTCTCTACTTATACAGGAAAAGTAACAGAAAATGGCTGGTTCATCCCTTAATTAGAAAAGAGGCCAGGGGAGTTTGTATCTATGGTCTTATTCCTGAAGTAATCCTGCAGAATTTTGGATTCGCTCCTAGATAACCATTCTACTCGACTGCGGCTTGGTGGCTCTGCATGTGCCTGGTGGGGTCCACTGTCAGCCTTGTGTGATTCTCTGAGTTCCATACGTCCGTGGCATGGCCGGATGATACATTTTTGCCTGTCAGAGCCATTTAGCCCTTACACAGTGGCGGCACCTCAAACCACCCAAAAGACAGAGTAGAGGACTCTAGGGCTAAAGTTACTCCGAGCTGTTATAAGGAATAAGAGAAAGAAGAAAACGACAGGAGCCAAACAGTATTCTGTACTATCCCACTTAGTGCTTAAGACATAGGCTTTGGAACCAGGCACAAGTAGGTCTGAACCCCACCACTTCTAGCTGTGTGTCTTTGGGCAAGTTGCTTAATCTCCCCTTGCATTGGGCTTCCTCATCTGTGGGACCTGGGTGGTATCTCCACACAGAAGGATCAAATCAGGTAATGAACATGTAAGGTGCTTGCACAGTATTGCACCAAAATACTTGGGTTCTTTAAGGGTAAAAAGATGTGGAGAAAGGCTGTGAAGAAGGATCTACTGAAGACACACACAGCCTACTAGCCTTCTACAGTATATAGTACAGTTTTTACCCTCGAACAATAATGGTAAGTCAAATCTCACCAAGCCAGGTTAGCCCAGTGACACAGGTGGAAGTAGTTTCCATTTCCCGATGCCATGCTTAGAGTAACCACCCAAATGAGTCATTTCCCCAGCCCCATTACCACTAACAGTGGGCATAGCAAGAAGACTAATGAACCATTTGTTTTCACCATGCCTGTGGGATTAGCCACAAAAGCCACTGACCCCAAACATTTTTTTTCTACCACAATAAGCAACATTTAATTCATGATTCCATACACTATGATTTTATTTATTATCTCTTATTCAAAGAGCAGAGAGTGTGGGATTGCAATATTATTTTTCATCAATTAATGTTAATCATTACTATGATATTAATAATCATAATGTTAATGATACATGGTGTTAATTATCACAGCATTATATTAATTATAATGTTAGTTTATACTATTACAATAATTATAATTAATATTTAATTTCATAAATTAATGTGAGACTATCATCTAATATTTGTCAAGCAAAGCTTTTGTTGTATATTTCTTCAGTATATCTGCCTGCACATTAATGAGATTGAGTGTGTAATGTCCCTACCGAGTCCCTGGGACACAGTAAGCCCTCAAAACAGAATTTTGGTTCTGGTTGTACTTGTCACTGTTAATGTACTAACTAGTATTTTAATTAAATGTCCTTATTTTTTAATATGTGAATTATAGTAAGGTCCTCAGGGTATGGATTCATTTTTTTTCTAGGATTGGCCATTATAGCTAATGTGCTGTTTACTTTTAGATTCTAAAAATGTTTGTTTCTATTCTTTCTTAACGAAGACCGTCAGCCACATCAGGGATGATTACTTTATAATGTAAAAGATCGCAATTTTTAAAAATAGGATGAATTCTAAATTGGTTTTCTCTACCCCTAGGGTAGCCACCCAAACTTTAGGCATGTGGTTTTAGGTAAATGGCTGAATAATAACCACCAGATTGTGTTTGAGAAATTTAGGAGATAGAATATCATACAAAGTAATTTTCAGATCAGTTGCCGCCAAATAGCAGTTGGATTTCCAGCCCTGCCCAGGCCTAATTTACAAATCTCAAAGGTACAGCTCCAGTCTGTGGCCTAATCAGATGGATAGCGAAGGCCTCTCCAGAAATACTTTAAAAGCCAATCCATTAAGTATAAACTCAAACACATTGGAATGTTAAAGTTTTTTTTTGTTTTGTTTTGTTTTAATGGGGATAGAGTAGTTGGAGGAAATTCCTTAAAAAAAACCAAAAAAACACAAAATGTACCCACAAATACTGGCAAAAAAAAAATGGCCAGTCACTGTAGATGAAAACTTCCTGGTGAGGCAGTACCACCCAGGAAGGCAGTGTGGGGTGGGCATCATGGAAAATAAAGGCAAATCCACACTCCACGATCAAATGTTGACTCTTAAGAGAAAATATCACAGTCAAGGAATGTAGGTCTTGAACTTTTTATCTATATGTAGGTGGGAGAAGCCAATTAAAACATATGGGCGCAAAATCACCAGTGTGTCTGCTCTGGAAAGAATGCACATTATCACTGACAACTCTACCAAGTTTCCATGAAGAAGAATATTTAACATATTTTTTGCGGTGTATTTATCCTATTTTCTTATCTCTGCTCATAGGGGTCAAGCAACCACTGAAGCCATCAGGTGCTGGTAGAAATGTGTCAGTGGACTCGACTCACTTCACAAAAAAACCAGGTAGTGAAAAGGTGCTCACCGCCTTCCTCAGCTCTGAGCTGAAACTCAGGCAGTAACTTTTGTTGCTGCACAAAGAGCAGTGTCCACATGGTCCCCAGTGCATTGGAATCATGCTAACTGGACATGATGGTTGCTAGAGAAAACATTCCAAAATCATATTCTTTTGGGGAATGAGAAGTTTTCTGTGCACAAATTACACATTACTACGAACCTCTAATGGGGTCCCAATTGAATAATTGCTTTGTATAATGTTGTAAGGGGCCATAAAGAACAAATGCTGAAGAGTCACTGTGGGTTTTAGTTCTCATCATGTTCAAGTTTTGCTCTTCTGTAACTTATTACAATAGCCTTTTGACTGACATGATTTATATTTCTAGTTTAAGACTATGCTCTATATTTTAAGCCAAAATTGTTTTAGTTGGTGACTTGGAATATTTTTGCATTGAGTAAGAGCTCAGTGCTTTTTGAAAGGACACTGTGAACACTATGCTGTCTGGGCTACAGATATTCCATCAGTACCACCCAGTTCCCCTTCACAGGCATGCAGGCACATGCACACACCCACTTCCTGGTATCTTGAGCCACATGGCAGGAAAAGCCACACAGCATTTTCCTGGATTGTCAAAGATTATCTATGCTTAAAGATTTTTAAGCCAACATATATTATGCAATGAAATGAATTTTTAAGCTATAATACAGGATTAAGGTCGACTCCTCCAGGCACGTCTAGCCTTGACAGCCTTTGTGCAAAGTAGATGCCGTGTGCAATTTTTAAATGATACCGTTTCCCTCCACCCTTTAGGCAAACCATTTAGAAAAATGTGCCATTACTCCATTCCAGGCTGGGAGCCTTGCACTAGAGCGTGTGGGTGGGTGAGCAGGATGGGATTTAGACTGGCTCCCACTTACGCACCCTAGCCAGGTGCCCTGGTGCAACACACAGCCATTTATAGTGAGCCTGCTCTCTGTAGGCACAGGGTTCCAGCTTCTGTCATCAGGGCTCCTTTGTTGTAACTGTTTAAGTTCTGAAAGCGTTTGTTTAATTATAATTACATAATAGAGTTGGGGGATGGGGTGGATCACCCACTAGAGGAGAAATTATACACTTTAACAACTTAAAGCTAAAATGGTGCAAGAATTGTAGTCTCAAAATCAAAGGCAATTGGAGATAAGGAAGCTCAGAAATGCTACTGTTGAGTCTATATGGGAAGCTAAAGATGTTAAATTCCATGCATCTATATGGCCTTTCAGAAGGTAAATATCTTTATCTATAATTAGAAGATATATTTTCATGTACTAATGTGCTTCATTACCCCTGGGTACAATACAAACATTAATTTAGAAGAATGTCAGAAAATATTACTTAAGCACTTTTCTACAGAATCTGTTTTCTGTCATCCAACTACTGGTTACCAAATGTTTTATTTCTAAAAAACCTGTGATTTGTATAGAATGAAGGCTTATGCAGCTTTATCTGTAATATAATCAATCTCTTAGTTACAATCCCAGGCACTCGCCGCCCACCATTGCCACCTAGACCTATTCCCCCACGAAGAAAACCATTGCCACCAAATAACGTCACTGGAAAGCCAGGAAGTGCAGGTACGTCAGTCATATACATTCCTTATCCCTCCCTGATTTGGGTTTTGTAAGCCCTTCTTGGTGTACTAGTTCAGGATGGACAAGCCCGTGGTGTGTATGACACATATCTGTGTTGGCCCTGAAGACTAGACACTGTAAATTACTGAATCGTGTCCTGATTCTGGATGGGTGGGCTGAAGAAAAGCATCTAGGCCAGTATGCTTCTTAGATGTTGGAGCCGAGACAGAAGCTAATTCAGGCCTTTCAAGAGTAGATTTTATTTTGGACAAGATTTTGTACATTGCCAACCCACCAGGGTTCATGGAAAATGTGATGCCTTGTCATCAGCTTATCATTCTGTCTTCTGAAATGAAATCCTATATATCTCACTGAAAGCTCCCCTGCCCACCAGCCTTCACACTGGCCCTAGTATTACGAAGTAGGAGAAAGAGTGGAGATGAAACTAGGTTGTGCAACAAGGCAGGAATATATTTCAGAAGTCAAGCTACCTCTCACTTCTGTGCCTTGGCATGTGTTGTCTCCTTCCCATAGAATGACCCCTCCCAGTCACCTGGGATACTCATATTTTACCCTTTTCTTGAAGAAGCCTTCTCTAGCTCCTCAAAGTAGTCTTAGCATTGCTTCTCTGTTCTATATGTCCTTGATACAAACCTCTGTTAAAGCCAAGAGCAAATTGTTTTATACCTGTTGGTTTGCATCCTTATCTTCACCTACTAGACTAAGAGCTCTGTGATGATAGAATTCTTGGTACATTTTCTCTGAGTTCCCAGAATCAAATCCAGTGCTTGACACATAGAGGATATTTGATAAGTAATTGCTGAGAGAATAAATGAGTGAAATTAAGAATCAGTGAAAATTGACCCAGTCCAGAGCAAGCTTTACCTCATTTCTCTTAAGGGTTCTTCTGCTGGACTTGACAGCAAATCACATGTTCCCCATCTTGTCTTCCTCTCTCCACCATCTCTACTTCCTAAATATCATAGATAGAATTGGGATTAAAGTGTTGAAGACAGCTGTGAAATGTGAAAGTGGTAAGGGTTTATGTGAAACAAAATCGATGTCACACTTTTTATAGGATAAAAGAGGGCGTGGTGATGGAAATGCTTTTAAGATGCATCACATGTAAAGTGAACACTAGATTGTTTTAGATGAGGAAGGAGGACTCAGCCTCTCTGCTTCTGGTGCCTCCCTGAGTCAAGGCCTAGGGACATAGCCCCATTGAGGATACCTGGTTTTCCTCATTAATTGGAACCGGGGGTCAAATTGGATGAGCCACAGAGTGAAAGTGACACCTGAGTGTCTCCCAAGAAAAACTCAGGGGACCCCACACACATGGCTTCCCTGTAAGGCTGTGTCTTCAGCAGCAGCTCGATGGCCTTGGTTCCTGCCATATAAAACCCTTGTTCTCTCCCATCAGTAAGTATAGCTCTGGTACAGCCCGCCCAGCCTGAAGAATAGAACCATAAGCACATTCCACTTGTGAGATTAACTCTGGTCCCCCACTTCCCCGTCTTGCTACCCACCTCTAACTCAAAGGAAATGGCTGCATTGAAGAGCCAAACACAAACAGGGGCAGTCGCACAGTTTGGGCCTGATGACCATCACAGAAAGTGCATCCTGCATTCAGGAATCTACGAAATGTTCTGGGCCTGCTCCGAACATGCTCTCTCTCATTTGTGCCCGTGAGCGCTGTCTTAGGCTACCCTGTGGCCTCCTCCATTTGTCCCCTATGTCCAGGTCTACTGAGGCCTCTGAGTCCCCCTCTCCTTGACAGGGTGAAAGTGCTATGCCGGCATTTCCTGCTGACTCTGCCCACTCGAAAAAGCTCCTGCGGGCAGCTGTGCAACTTCTCTTGGTTTTTGCTCACTCTCTCATTGTGGCCGTCTCCCACCACAACCAGGAGCACGAGTCTGAGGGGTTGGACCAGAGGCCGATCTGAGTGACTCATCCATGATTTCATGCTGGGCCACGGTCTGTGGGTCAGTCTTGTACCCCTTGACACTTCATTGTCTGAGAATGATTCCTTTTTCCAGGACTATAAAATCCAATCTAGCCTCCAGGGTACTCTAGACACCCAGACTTGCCTGAACCTTGGGATGGATCCAGTTTTGAACACCTATTAGTGTTTTTAGTGGAGGAGACACTTGAATATGGCATCTCTGGGCCCGTCTACTCAGTCTGCTAGCCCAGAATCATGGATGTTATCTTAGAAATCTTGTTCTTCGTCTTCTTCAGCCATGCCAATTAATCTCCAAGTCAGGCCACTCCACCTCCTTGACATCACTCAGGCCTGATTCCTTCCGTGCAGCCTCACTGCTCGTGCTGTAGTTCACAGTGACACTGCGCTTGCCTGCACAACTGCTTTGCCTCCTGACCTGTCTCTCAGCAGCCAGCCTTGCACCCTAACCATTCACCCTTTTCTCATCTGATCTTGTTACTTCCCTATTGAAAATCTTCTAATGGGTCCTTGCTGCCTAAAAATAATGTCCAAATCCATGGGATGGAAGGTTCTTCATGACCTGCCCTTTCCCGCCCTCCACTCTCAGCTCTTACTGCACCCGGGGCACCCAACTCTCACCCCTTCAAATTAAACGCTCCAAATGGTTTCATACTTCCCTGACTTGGCTTTCCTTGCAACCTCTGACTAGCATACAGCTCTCATACCTACCTACTGATCACTTCTCTTCTTTACTGGCGCATTCTCTGTGAAGACATTTCTACCTTCCCCCAATCCCAAACCCTTCATCTTGCCCCACAGACATTACTATTCTCTCCCCTCTCTGTAACCTTATCCAGCTCTTTCACAATATCTATAATGCTTCAGTATATTGGATCACACATCTATCTCCATCAAGGACACCAGGTCTTGTTTTCTCTCCAAGCCTGGCATTATAGCATCAAGCTAATGGTAAGTGCTTAATAAATATTTATTGGATAAATAAATGGGGAACTTGGCAGTGCTCCTAGAAAGCCTGACTACTCGGTATGAACTCTCTGTTACAGGCATCTTTTCATCAGGCCGAGTAACTTCCCCACCCTCGAGGGCAATGCTCAGACCTACTGGAGATCCCTCAGAGGGAACAGAGATGGACAAAAAGCCACCCACAGCTCCTGCCTCAGGAGAAGATCTTGGTCAGTCACTTTCCACTGGATGCTTAGCTACAAAGTACTGAAAGATTTCAAATTAGGGGCGAAAGAGTCTAAGTTCTGGATCATCTATTTTACTCAATTTTATGATTAATATGAGTCATTTTAAATGATACTTATTTTTAATGCTTTCGTATAGAATATGCTCCTTTGCTTCACAGACAGAAGCATAATTTTTTTAGGAAACTCTTCGTGAAAACATCTAGATTACCCAATACTTCTTACTAAATTACATGTTATTACTAATTACACATATCTTAATTTATTAATGAGTTTTAGCTGCTTGGTTGTAATCCTTAAATCATTATTTGTTATACCCCAGAATACCTGCAGCAGAACACAAAGGCCTTTTATTATGAATAATATGCAGAATAATAATAATAATGGAAATTAAAGTTGCCAGCAATTGACTAGGAGGCATATTACATATTTATAGTCTTTACTGCCTTTTTTATTATATTGTGGAACTTTATCTTTTGCCAAAATTATTTATTATATTCCCTTCTCAGGTAATATAACTGACTTTAGCTCAAGTCCAACAAGAGAAACTGACCCTCTTGGGAAGCCCAGATTCAAAGGTATGTATGATTGGCTCCAAATCTCAATTTTGACAAGGCTATCTTCAGTGGGTGTATCACTCAGCTGTTGCTGTGTAATGAACAACTATACTATAATAAGGATTATAGAATAATATAATCTATAATATATTATAATGTACTAAGAAGGATTTACTTCTCATGTGTGTACAAGTCACCTTCACGATGTTAATGACATGGGGGTCAGCTGATCTAGGACGTCCTTGGCTGGGTGGTTCGTCTACCAGGTACAGCTGGGTCTCTTGAGGGTTGGGGCCAGGTCTGCTCCTCATCTGCTCATTCTGTTGCCCAGGAGGAAGGACCAAGGGTGACCCAGGAGAAGTCATCCTCATGACTAGGCATCCTTGCAGAGTTCTTTGACACACAATGTCACTTTTAGGCCCAGTGCAAAGGTTATTTTGCCCTGTTTTAACATTTCAGAGGTTTGAGGCATAAGCCATGCAAGCAATTCCTCTGGGATGGCAGCTCTGACTCCATTTTAAAATGGCCCCATTTATTATGTTTTACAGAGGTTTTTATGGAATTTGAAAAATTTTTGGCTATTATTTCTTCAAATTGTTTTTGCCCCCTTTTCTACTCAGATACTAAAATTATATGTATATTATACGCCTGAAGTTGTTCCACAACTCACTGATGCTCTGTTTATATTTTCAGTTCTTTTTTTATCTTCATTTGTAATTTGGGTAGTTTTTATTACTATCTTTAAGTTCACTAATCTTTTGTTTTGCAATAGCATATCTGTATTAATCTCATCCAGTGTACTTTGTATTTTATACATTTTAGTTTTCATCTTTAGAGATTTGATTTGGATCTTCTTTTATCTTTCATGTCTTAACTTTTTGACCACATGGATTATAGTGATAACTGCTTTATTGTTTTTGTCTAATGATTCTAATATCTATGCAAGTTCTAGGTTGACTTCAAATGACTTACTTTATTCCTCATTATGCGTAATATTTTCCTGTTAATTTCATCTTGTTGGGTGCTGAATATGTTTTTTTAGTCCTAAAATAATTTTGAATTTTGTCCGGGGTTGCAGTTAAATTACTTGACACTACTTGACCCTTTTGAGTCTAGCTTTTAAGATTTACTAGGTGAGACCAGAACTGTATTTAGTGTAGGGCTAATTATTGCCCACTACTAAAGCAAAACCCTTTGAGTACTCTTTCCAATGCCCCATAAATTATGAGGTTTAAACCATGATCTGGAGGAACAAATGATTCGGGATATTAGCCTAAGATATACCTACTTATAAAAGTAAATCAACAAAAAACTCCATATTATGTATTCCAGAGACATATATTATGTAGTCTGAACCATCCACATCCCTGCTCTCACCTATCTGCTTATAACGTGAGACCAAATGTTCTCAAACAGATAATTATATTTATGAATTTACCTTCCTCTTCTTTACAAGCTCAAAAAGACTAAGTATCAGACTCCTCTCTCTCTCAGGTCCTCATGTGCGCTACATCCAAAAGCCTGACAACAGGCCCTGCTCCATCACGGACTCCATCAAACGGTTCCCCAAAGAGGAAGCTTTTGAGGGGAATGCCACCAGCCCACCACAGAACCCACCTTCCAACCTCACTGTGGTCACCGTGGAAGGGTGTCCCTCGTTTGTCATCTTGGACTGGGAGAAGCCACTAAATGACACTGTCACTGGTAAGAGCATGGCATGAGGACTATTACTACAGTGGGAAGCTTTGATACTGCGATGCATTGGGACTGTGGGACCTTGAGTCAAGCTCTGACCTGTGAGGAATAACTCAGGAGGAGCAAGTCGCAGCAGAGTTCTGCTGTCCTGATGGCACATTCTTGCGAGAAGTGTCATATGATGGGAAACAATCACCTTTGTCCTGGTTAAGGGCTCTGTTAACACATTGTTTGTGGGCATTTTTCTCTATATGACGAGTTTACTCGTTTCCCGCAAACAATAAAAAACCCACTTATCTAGTCTGCTTCAAATTAATCCCCAAATGTTGTTTTATCAAACCATTTGTTATTGCAGCAGCTATTGATTACAGATGTACATCATTTCTCCCCCAAGTCTTTTTAGAGGACCAATCACTATGGTAACCGTATTACAGAAAATTGCTTTGCCTCCTTAAACTTTGAAAGCGGGCATTTTTCTCTATACGACGAGTTTACTCGTTTCCCACACACAATGTGTTAATTTAGCAGACCTCTTTAAATTACATCTTTTCATTTCCTCTTAGAACTGTTTTTTCACAAAGTGAAGATACAGCTAGTCTTTTCATTACCAAGTAAACGACAAATAATATGTGGGAAGTTGCCACTGCTGATGATATTTAAACCAGCTTCCCTTTCAGCAACTCAACTTCTAGATTGACCTAGAACTTTCAAGCAGGTGAAAAGTTATTTCAATCATTTTAGGAGACATGTTTTAAAAATTCTATTCCTGGTCAATTTTCTGCTCATCTCAGGAAATTTTTACTTTGCCCCCAATTCCTCTAAAAATGGCTGTAAAAACAAGAAATTCTGAGTCATTCTTTGAATTTGTTACATGAGAATGTAATTCTCCACCGTGAACAGGATAATTAAACTAGAGGGGAAGGGGGAAAGACTCATGACCTTAGTCAGCTAGAGGACATAATAAGTAGCGTGAGTAATGGGGGTTCCTGCTGCCCGTGTCCCTGCCATGTGCCTGGGTGAGCAGAAAGGCAGTAGAGGGGCCCACTAAGAAGCTGTCAGGAGTAGAGAGCAGTATACAGGGCAAGTGGGGGATGAGGGTCTGCCAAAAAAGTCTTCTTTGACTAAAGGAGAAAAACAGCTGTTATTTTTCCTCAGACAAAACCATCTGGCCTGGGCAGCTTCCAGCATAAGCAGCTTATCTTTGCTTAGCTGGCTTTTTAAAACCATATTTTGTGCATTTTCTTTCTCATGCAAAGTTTACCTTTGTTTTGAGAATGAACCAGTCACTGCACATGGTTCCTGGGGAGTTGCCTCATCCTGTTTCTTTACTGGCGACTATGCCAGTAGGTACAAAATCAATATCTAAAAACATCTAATAGCTAATAATCTAAATCAGTATCTAAAAATCAGTCAATCTCTAAGTATTGATTATCTACATGTATTAAAAAAGTTAAAAACTCTCAATCCATATACTGTGCTAACTAGGAGATCCTGTGATAGTCTGAGACTTAGTTCTCACAAAACCAAATGAGCTATAAAATTTCATTTGCCTCAAAGATGTGCAACGTCAAGTTGGAATTGGTTAATCTAATATATCAAATAATCTATACATCTAATACATATTCACTCACATATGTCAATTTTATGTGATGTAACTTTTTTAAAGCAGAAGGATTTTCCTTTCTGGTTCATTATGTAATATTTTTTAAAATTATATAAACTTTTAATCTCAAAGAATCATGAATATGGTATACTTTATCTATCCAACCGATCACTTTTGTAACATTGTTACCAAATGATAATGGGTTGCTTGAGATCTTTCACAAGATAATGGATTTTTAATACCAGTTTTCATGAATTAGGACCACATCTCTTTAGCTATAATATTTTCTAAATAGAAATGAGTCCATATTTAACCATTACCCATCTAGTTTGCACTTAAATGTTGGACCATATACCCTTTTGGTCTATTCTATTTTTTTTCATTTCTCTTTATTTTTAAATTGTTCATTAATACCACTTGTTTTTAAATGCAATCTTTTATAAACCAGCAGCTCAGATAATACAGAGATTAATTCTCATGTCGCCGAAAATGGTTTTGTAAAAGAGGATGGGGAAAGATAACAAAAAGAGAGTGAAATATATTCTTTATTCCATGAGTTGTCTTCTGTCAATAATCTATCTTTTAACTTTACCTCTAGTAAATACATACAAATTCAGTTGCTTCTACATGTCCCTTTTATACTAAGGTAGAAATAGGTACACCTAAGAAATTGACCATAGCCTGGGTCTCTGGACAACTTAAAGTTAAGTTTGTTATAAGGTGTTGCTTTGTGATATGCCAAGAGTGTGTTCACACAGATTTAAATCTCAGACCGGCTATGTTCTAGATATGCAACTTGGGTATACTCATATAATTAGCCTCTTTGAACTTTAGTTTCCTTATTTGTATTAATACCCATTGTTATCAATTTATCATAAGGTTAAAATTAAACAGAGATTTTGAATATGCAGCATAAATTAGCAGCTGTTAAATTAATGTTTGTCAGTAGTAGCAGTAGTAGAACAGTTAGAAATAGATCACCGTTACTATTGTCATGCTCTGTTGATCAGACTGTGATGTTCCCAATCTTCATAATAATTTTTTTTTCTGTTAAATGAATTATCTCTTGATAGGTCAATAAAACTCTCTGAGGGGCGGGGGGAAGACAAATTATTTAGTTTTAGTTCTTTATAGATTTCCTTATATCTTACTGTTAGTGGAGTTATAAATAAATCCTATATTTCAAAAGAAATACAGACATATACTTAAGAGGCTACCTTTACCTCCTGAAATATAGTCATAATGTGTCTACAAATATTCATTCCAAGTTAGTATAATATTCCACTTTTATGATGTTAGTGGATTTATGAAAAAGCTATTATCACTTTAAAACATTAAAAATGAAAGATATATTTACAAAGTCCAAAAATAGTCATTCAAAAAGTTTGAATTCTGAGAGAAATTCTAAATATCTTTCTAACTGTGAAGATAACTTCTAGATCCATTTTGAGAAATATTGGATTTCGGAAAAGCCATGACACATTTTTGCAATGAAAAACATAGAAAAAATACGTCATCACTTTTCCAACAACTCAATACAATATTTCAGGACAAAAATAGTATTATATCAACCTTTAAAACTTGAGTCAAAATAAAATTAGAGAAGATGTGCTATAAGAGTTTCAAGCACTAAAGAGCTAGGGTAATAGTAAAAATCACACAGTTGATGAGAAATATCTCAAGCAAATACGTTTTTTTGAAAGTGGTAGATTTCATGCATAACCCAGTGGAGAGTAATATAATTTGTTCTTTTGGTGGCTAAGCAGCACTTGAATCTTTCCAATTGGAATTGTTCAAATTTGTGTGACCCTATTTTTAAAACACATCACAGGAATAATAAGGGATAATAAAAGCAACAATAATAATAGATCTACCTGTTGAGTAAAATACATGCGAAATAGTATTAAGCATTGCCATATGATCCTAATTTAATTCCCACAAGCAACACTATGAAGAGATATTACTGACGTTTTACAGATGGGAAAACTGCAACTGATATAGAGGCAAGTGACTTGGTCTGTGTCTTTCCATCAAGCCACACAGTTTCCAGTTTTTTAAAAATCAATTTTACTTCCATTTTAATTGCTCCTATCTTTTTCTAGTATATATCACTTCACAGCTGAAGAAAAGATATAAAATGGAAATACTGAATTCAGGGTCCTCCCCCCTTTCTCTAGTCTCTGTTATAACAGGAAGCCAACTGAAGTGGGAACAAAAAAGAGTTGGGAAACTACAAAACAAAAACAAAAACAAATGGTTGGAAACAAAGAGTCTGAGGAAGAAATACTAAATACTAGCCCTTAGCCCTTTAATAGCTGCACTAATGTGTCCAGATACAATAGCCTTTGCCGTCCAGTTTAATTTTGAATTTTTAGAAGGATAGTCATCAGAAATTATTCAGAAACAGTTATGCTCCTTTTGGGAGTGTTTTTTTAAATATAGCTTTAAAAATCTTTCCCAAATTAAAATTGGTGATTATAAGTTTCCTAAGTTATTCTATAGTCTCAGTTTTATTTCTAGTATCCATCTCCTACCTTTGGTCTCAGAGCTATTAGCAGAAATCCCCAGGAACTTGCCAGTTCCTTTGAAGCCTTTCCACTTTCCCTAATACCCACCTCTTGTGTAGTTAGTTCTTCATAGTGATGAAGCTGATTTTGAGTAGGCTTTTGTTGTGATTTGTTGGTCGGGTTTTGTTTGATTTTTTTTTTTAATCCTCTGCATGATCATGTCACATACATTAAACTCCAATTGAGAGCGGGGAAAACCAATTAACAAATTTGTCAATTATATTCTGAAAGTCTTGCTCTTTTGATTAGTTCATAGAAACATGCCTTTAAGTTAAATTTATGCAGATCTCTATGCAGGCTTTAAGGACATAGTTTCTTTTACAAGGATAATTATCAAGGAGGCATATGTAAACAGTATATACAAAACTTATGTAACTTATGTAAGCAGTAGGTACAAAAATCCCATAATTCTACAGATCAAAATAATGATTTGGTTAACTGGTATTTGCTGCTATAATTTTAAACTTGGAGAAGCTTTTTGCAGCTATACAACGTATTCCATGGCCTTTTCCCGAAGTATATTATAAAGCCTCATAGCAGGAAACATGGCTTCTGCTCAAACACCACTCCTCATACAATGCTTTCAAACAATGTAGCCTGACTAACCTAACGAAATCAGAGGTTACCAGTATCCAGAGCTACCATAGGAGCGTCACTGGTCTTCACAATTACCAGGCCTTCCTTGCTCTGGTAAAGGGGAAGCCGAGATGGTCAATGAGCAACTCCCCAAATGCTTTGGGACCTTCATCATCTGCTGACCATCCTCATCTGGAAACCGCTAATGCATAAGATGTATACGTAATGTATACATAATGTATAATGTATAAGATCAGAACTGCAATCTGAGTTGCTCATTTTTTTGACAGTGACTTTTATTATGTTATTAGCTTCAAGAACAATTAAGTCAGTGGGAACATAAAGACAAGTACCTGTTGGCTTTTTCGCTTTTCAGAATATGAAGTTATATCCAGAGAAAACGGGTCATTCAGTGGGAAGAACAAGTCCATTCAAATTACAAATCAAACCTTCTCCACAGTAGAAAATCTAAAACCAGACACAAGGTAAGCCACCAGTGCCATTACAGGTAAATTCTGAGAGTGCAAAAGTCATAGCAGAGGAATGGAATGACATCATCCTTCTGTGTCTTAAGGGAGGGCCTACTGTACATTTCATTCTTTGGTTTTCCAACACAGCACTAAATACCTTCAGAGTCATGTTTTACAAATATGCAAGTTATTGGTGGGGATACAAGAGTTAACAAGATGGTCTTGTAAGCTGACAGGATAGCTGGGAATATTGAAAAGTAGAAGGCCATTAGTACCAAATGTTGATACTAATACCAAAATCTAAAGAAGGAAAAGTCTGTGGATGAGAGACACCTGTGGTGTGCATGATATAAACTAAATTTGAAGCACAGAAGAATTTAGCTGGCATGCTGGGAAAGAGAGGGCAAGGAAATAAAAGCCATATAATAAATGTAGGTGAAAGTTTATAATATTTAATGCTTAAAATACCTAGAGACTAGTCCCAGACACGGCAATGCTTTGCTTTTGGGTCCTTTTATCACAGACAAATGAGAATAGATTTTTGAAACAAGAAATAAATATTAGCATTGTCCTATAATAAACAACTTTTCTTGGTATCCCTTATTACACATTAATACAAGGTTGTTTATATTATTACATAGTTTTGTGATTCCTTTATAAATCTAAAATACCCAATATTTTATCAGTTCATTTTGTTATTATAAGAAATATAAGGTCCTTCACATTTCTAGAAATGTGCTAAGGATTTTTTGGTTTGCTTTGGTTTGATTTTGTTTTACATGGCTAAATCATCAAATTTAGCAATTTGATGATTTAAATAAACAAAAATAAATAAATAAACAAATAAACTAACTAAATAAACAAAACAAAAATCAAGGAGATTCTCAAATGGATATAGCCAAGCATTTTCTTAACAAAGCTCATATGCTAAACTCATTCCTGGACTAAATTTTACTCTCTGTGGGAAATCAATTCTTTCCTCAAACTCCAAAACACTGTTTGATAAATTGTCTATGCTTTCAGTAAAAAAGAGAAAAAAAAACGAAAAACTGGTATCTTAAGTTACAGCACACCAAGAAACATAGAGGAGTTTTCAGAGGGACACAATTGGGAATTTTTCCAGAGTGAATATTTCATAGCTTGATAGTTCCTCAGTGTTGAAAAAGATCAGCAGAGGTGAAGACTGAAATTCCAGCATCAGAGATTTTTTTTCCTCTAAGTTTTACTTTCTGAATCTTTCACTGTCATCATTTGATTGAATTGGATTGGGTATTGATTGTGACACCTGACAGAGTTTATTTTGGCTCTGACAGCAGGGAGACTCTTCTATTCTTTTCAGGGGAAAAGGAAGATCTAATTCATTTTGATGGTTTGCTGTATATAAACTGCAGTCGAATACTGCAAAAATAACCCTTTTCCACAAGCATTTTTTTTTCCTTTCAAGCTCTCTATTTTAAGCTGTAACATGGAAAGTTTTGCGACTGCTAATTTTCTTAAAGGATATGTTAGCCAAAATAAGCTTATATTTCAGTAATTATCTTAGTTCTGTTTTCTTAGCAAGATTAACAGGAGAGAGCCTATTTTTACCATGATATATTTCAAGGAAAAAGTAAAAGAGAAACGTCATTTAATTTGGACTTGTTAATAGGTGGGTTTGGGCTTACAGGACTTGGATGGTTTCTCTCTTCAGTTTCCTGCTTTTTATTCCACTTAATAAAAAGTGAGCTGTGTAGTATACAGAAAGTACATTGAAAGGCATCCAATTTCGTTGTGTTCCTTTTCTGAATCAGGCTGTCCCCCCATCTCACAGTGCATCTATCAGCGATAATCAGAAGTAGAACAATTATTCCAGTGACATTTTAAACCCGATTTGTTTGTAAAAGTTTGTTTGTTTGTGTTTCCATTCAGCTAACTTTGACTGTCAACAAAGTGCTTGGTGTTGTGGCTACACACATGAATAAACATGCTGCCTGCACTTAAGAGGAGGCTAGGGGGGTAGGCAGTTAATAACCAGTTGTCTATGCAAAGTGGTGAGAGCTCTGGTAGAAGTATGCACACAGAGAGATGGGAACCCAGTGTGGGTGGCGCTTCACAGAGCCTGAGGGAATTAGGAAAAACTTCCCAAGGAAAATAGACACCTGAGCTGAGGCTTGAAGGATTAGCAGGAAGGAGTTAGCTAGGTGACTGGTAGGAGAAAGGAACGTCCCCGCGGGGACCAAAACGGCATGGTTGTGTGCAGTGAGCAATGCGCTATTTTCACCAGGGTGAGGGGTGAAATTAATCTAAAAAAAAACGGACTTTTGTTAATGTCATGGCAGAGTGCCATTTTGGCATCTGAAATAATTGGTAAAGTAGGTGCAGAGAGAAAAGTACCTTTGGGCTGAGCTACATTTCATTCTGGAATCACAGGACCAACCAGGTCATGGATTGTAACTGTTACAGGACTCATGCTGATTGTTTCTGGAGTTTGCCTCAGACTGAAAGACAAGCTTTATCCTGCCCTCAGGATGTGTGTCTTGCTTATCTCTCCTGTCCTTCATCAGTGGGCCTTCTAAGAAGGACCTCTACAGCCCATTCTCTTCTCAAGATAAGCAAAGCCCAAAGGAAGCCCTTTCCAGATTTGTCTTTGCGAAAAGCAATATTAAATTTAGGAATCCCTGAAATCAGAACCCCATGCTGAGTTTTACTACTTGGCATAAGTTTGGGGCCATTCAGTGTATCTATGTGGCATCTTTAGTTATTTTTAAGGTTTGGTATGATTGAATGAAATCCAAGAGGATATAAAGATTGTTAATGTTCATATATATGATTTGACCAGGATTATATTGATAGTCCCTAATGGGTCATGATTTAAAAGTTGTACATCAGGAATTTGAAGAAAGAACACTTTCCCATTTAGGGCAAATATAATGCATGCAGATGTAAAGGCGCTCTAATGAAAATTATTTTGTGTACAATACGTGAAACTTTGTGGTGATCAAGTAGCTCAGTAGAACCCCAGCCCCGGTGAGCCTGGGAATGCATTCTGCACTATCTTAACAGGTATGCTAGAGATTAGTTTGTTGAAAGGCCAATATTGCTTGGAGATGAAATATTAAAATTATTTGTTGAAACCTCTATTAGTCATAATAGCAATGATTTAAGGAAGAATAAAGTGAAGTTGAATTTCATTTAAGATTTCTGAAGTCTGACGGTACCTGGAGAAACAAAACTAACACCCATGAAACTGGAGAGCATCATAAGACAGCATAAAAGAAAGTGCCAGTCAGTGTAGGACTTCCACAGGAGAGTTTATCAGGAGAGAAAGCCTCATGGAATACTTGAGACTGGACCTTGACAGTAAAGGATAGGATGGAAGGGGATAGGCTGGTGAAAAAAGAGCAGCAACAGCATTGTTCATTCAAATCACATACATGTGCATGACTTTGGTGAAATACAGATAGTCCTCCAAGTTCCCACTGACAGCAAAGCTACAGCCAGAATAATAGAATTACAAGTACCCAAATTTAGATGTGTCGGCTTTTTCAATGCAAGCTTTTTTTCTACTCTATCACAGGTCGGCAAATTGCTGCTTGTGAGCCACATGCAGCTCTTTGGGTATGTTCTGTCTCAAAAGTTTGCTGACCCCTGGAAGAGCCAATCCTGTTCCTCACAACAATTTAAAAATTACTCGAGAGCCATAAATATATTTTTACATAATCACCATTATGTGAATAATATCCTTTAAAATTTTTATAAATGAAACTGATAGTTTTATTTTCATTTTCAATTTTACTTCAGAGCCACATTGTACGTACCCAAAGAGCCACATGTGGCTCACGAGCCGCAGTTTGCTGACCCCTGGAGGCTCTTCCATCTCAAAAGTTTGCCAACCCCTGCTCTATCACATTGTTAAGGCAAGGTATCTTTCCATTATATCTTTTGTGCCCCAACCATGATCCAAGATTAATGCTAATAAAAGACTGTAAAACAAAGAGGAAGTGTGGACAGGATGCGGCCACCAGTTGGTTTTGATTAGCTATAAAGAATGAGTTTGGTCACATTTCAGCGCTTGGGGAAATTTTTAAACCAAAATATACGGTAAAACTGAATTCCCAAAATAGGCAAACTTTGAATTATAGCTGTGAAAATCCTCCCTCCCCTCCCCTTAGGTTCTGGGATTCCCTATTTGAAAAGCTGGAAGATAATACCTTTTGAAAGAATTTTACTATAGCTGTATTCCAATTCTAGGAGACTTATGTCAATAATTTACTTTAATAGCGTTTTCCACCATTTGTCCTGACTAAAAACAAAACATGAGATCTAAAACAGGTGATAATAACTGGCTAATCATTACACATGGATGAGGGTGGAGTAGAGAGCATGGTGTTAGACCATTTCACCTAGGAGAATCAAGGCAGAGACAATAGATCCACAGAGTTTTTTCGGTTCAAAATTATAAATGTTCACACAGTATTCTAGAACCAAAAAGACAGTGGGCTGTGCTACCTTTTCCTCTCACAGCCTGTTTTTATGACTGAGCCAGGTTTTTATATACTCTGCAGCAGCCTGACAAATAGCCCACAGCAAGAGGCCTTCCACCAGCTGTTTTGCTGCTGGGAGAATTCAGCAACACACCTGGCATGCGAAGTTTCTGTCTATAGAGAGCGGAGCTGCACGGCTTCTCAGGGGCACCGAGGCACAACTCCAAAGGTGGTACGGTGGGGCCCGCCCCAGCCTTGCTGGCAGCTGCTTGCAACTGCAGTAAGCTATGGTCGTATATGGGCACAGGGAAGAAGGGCTGTTTGTGAGGAGCCATCACTGTCTTAGTCACATGACACAGAAGAGCTCTACTAACAGAGGCAAACTACTGTGGCACAACTCCATCATCTGTGTCTTTAGAGGATCCCTCACTCACCCCCTACCCCTAAAATACAAAGAAAATGTAGAGATGCTGATATCCAGGTGAATCAGTGCCCATCGAGCCCATGCCCCAATATTTCTTTTCCACTTAATTTTTCCCCATGAAATCTCAA